GCAATTGATGATGCCAGCCGCAGACTTGCAGGAGGTCGGGGGCAAACAAAGGGTGCTGGGAGAAAGTGATGAGTGTAGACAGTCACTCGAGGAGACTGGGGAGGATGAGGATGAGGATGAGGTGGGAGACGAAAACGGGGCTGTAGAAGAGAGTGGAGATGAGGATCGAGGCGACGAAGAGGAGACTGAGAAGAGGGAGGAAAGAGAAGTGGCAGAAGGAGGAGAGGATGAAGATGAGGATGAAGAGTTTGAGGAAGAGTGTAGTCTTTGGGGAGATTACGACGACCAGATTCCCTATGCCTTTAGCGATAGCAACAATTTGGAGCATAACCCTGGCAACAAAGGTCCGTCTCCGTTGGTCCAAACAGGCCAAAAGCAGGCAGAGGCCAAATGGGGAAATGTTAGTGACGAGAACTCAGGCATAGATCACGGCACGTACTATTTATCTGAGGACTTTCAACAGGTTCAAGGCGTACAAAGACGACTTCAGAACGGAGAACTCGTCTTCCGACTGGAAGACGAATCCAGACCAGCCGAGAACGATTTTGAGCCGATGAAATTTCGTTTACTCAAATTTAATCAGGTAATTTATGCTAAAATGAATCCTAAAATGGCCATCGCTGTCAATCAAATCGACCCACATGGCACTTAGTTGCAAAGGTTATGACCGAATCATCATTTCTGATAACATGTCGAGATTGGAAGTTGAGCTACCGGGGCTCGATTCCAGACGAGGGTACTGATAAAGCCAGTTTAGGTGGGGTTGAAATTGCCATCCAGTTCAGGCAGTCGAAATAATTTTGGGAAAACAAGGCTTTGTGCAATGGGTTGTGGGAAAATTATGCCGACCTGCCTTGCTAGAACTCATATTCAGGATGTACCGATAGTCTTGAAAACCTAGTTGATCCGAATACCACTTGGAAGTGTTTTTTGTGAATAACTTTGCAAATAATAGCTCCTTCAGAATGAAGACGAATTTGTAATGGCCTAGTCGAATTGAATGCCTTGCAGAGAGATGGTAAAAGGGAATAAAGGACGTGTGTATAAGCCATCAGAAGCGACAAGTTTGATGACAGATTCATTAGCTTGAAGGAAATAATAAAGAGTAACTAATGAATACATACATTCATAATTCCATAAATTCATTTGAATAAATAAATAAGTAACTGACCAAAAATGGCAAGCAGCTATTTTAGAGGCTATCACTAAATATTGTTTCAGAAAATCTAAATCTAAAATCTATCAGTAAATCTAATAACTTTCCATTTCTATTAAAAGTGTTGGGTAAAGAGATTCAAAGGTTGGTTCCACCAGAAGACGACGGCGGATTCCTCTTGACCAGCTGTCGATTGGCTTTCTGGAACATTCATGCTGACGCTGCTTCGAAGGTGATCACCTTCGATTCCGGTGAAAAGGGGCTAAGATTTCGTCCATCATTTGACGAACATCATCAGCACGTTTTCACCGGAATCGAAGGAGATTTCGGCGGAAACTGTGTCAACATGAATGTTTCAGTGAAGCCAATCGACAGCTGGTCATGAGGAATCTGCTGGTGGTAGTCTTGCGATGGGTTCGAACTTCGAATCTCTTCACCAAACACATTCACTCGAAGTGGAAGTGAGCTCAACAATTATAAAATAAGAGAGTCGTCGAAACACAACTTTTATTCAAATTCAAATTTTATTACAGTGAAGTTGGCATCTTTCCCAAAAAATAATTTGATATAATTTTTGTTTTGTAAATAGGATTTCGAGACTATCAGTAAATCAGATTAGCGAGATGAGTTCATCCTTGGGTCGTAGAGTAGATGTGAATTTCAAAGCAGGCCAGGCATTTTCCCATATCACATTCCTTGACATTCACATCTGCTCTGTGACCCAAGGGCACTCGTGGCAACGTGTCGGGATTATATGCTGCACTTTCACGGTTCGAGTCGCACTGGGGGTGCTGATGTGACCGAGGCAAGGTCGAAACCGGATGTTTGTCTTCATCGGAAACACTTTTTGTCAAAATGAAAGCGAGTGCGACAATTCTCAAACGAGGGATAGATCGAAAAATCGGTTCTTGGGGTACACTTACAACTGGTTGCGCCTTGACAACCATATTCCACGGGGCAGGAAATGTTGTTGGTGTCCTCGCATGGAATGCATCTACTCTCGAAAGGGACGCTTAGTGCCCAATGGGTGGTCAATCGCCATGACACCGACTCTCACTTTTGCGTAAACAATAAGAAGAGTTTTGAGACTACCAATAAATAATTTTTATGAGATGCATTCATCATGTTTCGTTTACGGTGATCAAGGACTGGTACACGTTTTTTCACAC